ATTCAGTCTTGTATGTCGACTCAGTCATTAACATAATCCTCCATTTACAGATAACATGCTGTATATAATTGGTGGTCGCAACAACACCCCAGCTGGGAACATAGACACAGCTTCCGTAGACAGGTATGATCCTCTGCGAGATGAGTGGAAGCCTATGGCACCCCTCAGTGTACCACGCAACAGGTTGGGCGTGGCAGTGGTAGATGACCGTATTTATGCAATTGGTGGAGGAAATGGGAACACATGTCACACATCAGTGGAGAAATATGATGCCAAACAAGATGAATGGACAACAGTTATGTCACTTAATTTTCCTCGCATAGGTAGGTTTTGGGCAAGGTTGTACATTAAGACACCGCTCCAAGCTGGAACTGTTTGGGTAACCAGTTGGCAAGAGGAAAAATCTGTTGCTCAAATTTGTAGAAAAAGTCCCCAATTTGGCCACATGTTTGCATACAACACTATCAGAGTTTCATTTTCACTTTTTTCTGGTGACAGTTTATCTGGTAATTACCATTTTTATTGTTATTAGTTTGCCGTTTGGCAACTTTGAATAAAATAAAAAAGGGGGCCTGTTAAAAAAATGTTGTCACGGCTGTTCAACTATATTTTTGTTGAATTCAGTCACCATATTATTGAAATTTTCTTACTCTCAGTCCTTTCCTTTGGGGGTCAAGTGTTTGAGCTGCTTTTTGTGCAATGAAAAACTAAATTTGGCTCAAAAATACCGAAATGTGCTTAGTAATGTAGGAAAAAAACAAAAGAGGGAATGATAAACCAAGTACAAGCCAGTATGGCCAAGGATGGAGTAGATCGACACAAATTGTAAATGACTTTGAAATATTAGTTTAGTAAGATAGAAAAACACAAAAAAGGCGATAAGAAACCGGGAAGGAAAAAGAGTAACAGGGGATGGAGAAGATTGATAACGATTGTAAATGACTACAAAATATTAGTTTCGTAAGATAGAAAAGCACAAAAGAGACAATGATAAATCAAGTTTGGAACTAGGATGGCCTAAAAAAACTTTGAAAATTTTGGCCAAGGAGATGCACATTCTCTTTTGCAAGTGCTGTAACGGATGCTGTATTTTTTTTAAAATATTTTTTGCATTTTTTCGCTAGGTGTAGCTGTTGCTGTACTTGATAGAAAGCTTTATGCCGCAGGAGGATTTGATGGAAGACACAGGCTCAGGAGGTAAGAGAATTTTAAGAGTTGTTTGAGTGTGATGCTGTTTTTCACGAAGTAAGCGCAAAGTAAGCCTTCGCTTTAGTGTAAGATGTTTTCATCCAGTGAATGACGCTAGCATGCTATAATGTTCCTAATAAGAGTCGATAATACAACCTTGCGATCAGCATTCCATACGCCCTACCACTCAATGAACTGTAGGAGATTTGTGGTAGGCAGTTTAACAAAGTCCTTGATGATAAACTTCCTGCATACTACAAACTAAGATAGGAATGTCGATATCTATGCGTTATTGACCAAGCTTGATCGGTCTAGATGGCTAGAAATTGGCCAAGTTCTTTTTCTTTGCGTTTTTCTGGTTTGACGAAGTCGCCCAGGTGGCAAATTAGAACTCAGGATTCGGTTCATATAAGCAATATTAATAATAACTAATTCTTATGCACAATGCTAAAGTCGTGCGTGTTTCCTTTTTTGAGGATTAAAACCAAATGTTGTCAAAGATATCTTTACACACACTCTCGTGAGTGGACAGGTGTATTGGTTGAAAGCTCTGTTATTCGAGAGTCACGTTTGTGGCTTCGCTGTGATTCCAAAGATCTCTTTATATACGCTCTCATGAGTTGACAGGTGTAATGGTTAAAAGCTCTGTTAGCGTAAAGTCTCGTTTGTTGCCTTGCTGTGATTTCAAATGGATGGTAGTTCTCTACCACCCTCTGATGTGATGATAATTACCATCCATATTATTTGTAGAAAATTTTAATCCGGATATGCTCAAAGCTAGACTTACTAAGATATTGCTGTAGAGCTCCTTTGCTGGAAGATGTTTTCTTCCCCTTAATCAACCCCCCCCCTTCCCCCGTTCATATTTACAAGGGACATGTTTTTCTGAATTTCATTTCAGTGTTGAATGTTATGACGTGGATACTGATCTGTGGAAATTAGTGTCTCCGCTGGTCGAGCGTCGTAGTGGCGCAGGAGCAGCCTCGTTGAATGGCTTTGTGTATGCCATCGGTGGATATGACGGCGAAACACAATTAAATAGTGTTGAACGCTATAGCCCAGCCTCGGACATATGGATAACTGTTTCGCCTCTGATACACAGGAGAAGTGCACTTAGTGCGGCTGTTTTGTGCGGGAAACTTTATGTAGTCGGAGGTTATGATGGAGAAGGGTTTTTGAACACTCTCGAGGAATACGTCCCTGAACAAGATTGCTGGAAGTTGGTTAGCAGTATGAACCTGGGACGTAGCGGAGCGGGGATTGTAGTAGGTTGGAAACCTGTCACCTAGAGCCCCTTTGATTTAGGCTCAAAAAGTAATCAATGATTGCAAAGGTTCTGCTTTGCCTCGCGCTGTGATTGGCCTAGAAAACTTGGGCCACCCTTTCAACCAATCAAATGCGGCATCAAAACCAGTCACGACTCGGTACTCGCGTTTTCCAGCGCAGAGTGCCGACAATTTTGCGCACTCGTGGGCTCCCTTCGACTGAGGAATTTTTATCAGAGTGTCGAATCCCGGTCAGTACTGGGTTCTTTTCTTCCCCATAACCTCTCGACCGATCAAATGTAAGACAAAAAAAGTCGCAACTTATCATCCACTTCATGTAGTTTGGTTTGCATTTTTGATACTCAGAAAAATTTCCCTACTAGAGGATACAGGACATATTTTTCACCATAGTTAATCGCAACGAATTCAAAATAAATACCGGAAAATAAAGAATATATGCTTACTCTCACATGTGCGTTGTATTTTTACCTAGTGCTTTAATTTTCAAATAATGGTTTATTACTTTACATTGAAAATATATGCTACCGAATCTCATCTATGTGGCCTATTAAATACGCTGCGGTTTGGCCATTGGACCTCGTATTTTAGTCAAAGTCCTCATTCAGCTTTCTTTAGTGTAGCTCTGTAAATGCAAGCAGGCCCCGGTTGTTCAAATGATGGATAAATTTATCCACTAGAGAGCGAGTGGATAGCGCCACCCATACTTTGAACAACCGATAGACGCCATGGGTAAAATTTATCCGCTGGATAGCGATTTATTAGGCGGATAAGAATTTATCAATCCTTTGAACAACCGGGGCCAGGTGTTTAAAATGCTCCGCAGCAAAAAGATCCGTGTGTATTATCAAGCATTTCTCTATCATCCTTATTTCAACTTCAGTTATGATGAAACAAAACCTCAAATACAATCAAGGACGCTTTCCATCTTGCTAAAATTCCCGATTCAGCCTTTTGAAATCCAAGCACAACATGATCCACTAAAACATCAACCTTTGGAAATATTTCTTTTCCTTATCGGTTTGAGTGGAAATACTAGATCCATTTCTATCTCCATTTCTATTTCTACAACGTGACGTCTTTTCCTAGTGTACTGTTGACTTCCTGGAAAGCTGAGCCATCGATTGGCGCACTGAAATATTAAATAACAGCATCTTTTCCTAGTATTAATGTATCAAACTAAATATGTTGAAATTTTTTGCTGTAAAATAAGTTTCTAATTGACTCTCCGCGACTTTTCCTAGTATTAGCGTTTAAAAAGTAAACATGTTGAAAATTTGCAGAAAAAAGTTTTGTAGTTCAGTCTTACGTTTCGACCTGATTGAACAGTGTCACACCTCAACTCACCCAGCCGAAAAAATAACTCTTGCATGCATTGCATGCCTATGATTTTACTGTTTGTTCAGTCCACTGTTTCTTCTTTTAACTTTGTTTGTTGCGATTATATTGAGAACTTTTTTTTTTCACTGCTCTGTTTGGTAGTTTTGTTCAGTTGAATCTTCCGCGTAGCTCGGTCTCTCCTCTGATTAAATATTTCATTCAAATCTTGCACAATGCTTTTCTCGTCTCTGTTTGATTTCCAAGCTAATATCTACCTTACTGTTTGTTTCAACTTAAATTTCTTTCCTATATTAGAATCTAGCCCTCTGTTCTTTTCCTTAACCCTTTAACTCCCATGAGTGACCAAGACAGAATTTCTCCTCACAATATCAACACAGAATCAAGCAGACAGGTGAGGAGAATAAAGAAGAAAACTCAATAAGGGGACTAAAAGTTGATCCAATGCCAAATTCTCCAAATTGAAATCATAAGTATTTTATGGCAGACAGTAGGGAGAATTACTAATGAGATCTTGGGAGTTAAAGGGTTAATTCTGGCTGATTGTCACGTTCATATCTACGAACTGTTTGCACTCTTCTGTTTGGCGTTAGTATCTCGCGCAATGTTTTCTCCTAATTTTATCTCAATAATTCGCTCACCGTTTCTCTTCTTCTCTATTTGTTAATACTTTTCTTTTAGTATATTGCACTCTGTTTGTTCTCTTCTCCACTTAACTTTTAGATTAATATGTAGCGCCCAGTTCTCATCACTGTTGGATTTTTGCGGTAGTTCTCAACCATTTTTCTCTTCTCTGTCTGATTTTTACGAAACTATCTTCTCTCGTTTATTCAATTGTGTCCTAAGTATCTCGGCACTTTTTGTTCCCTCTTCTAATAGTTTGTTATGTTATCATTTCCTGCACCTGTGAACAGTCTTAATCACTCTTTAATGATCACGTGTGCGTCTAACGGTAGAATTGAAAACAGAATTATAATGATTTAAATCAAGGATTAATTTTGAGTTTTGACGAAGCTTTGCTAACATTCTCACATTTTTATACATTGAGCCTATTTCCTGCGTTCAGTTTTCCCATCCCAATTTATTTTAGTTCCCTACTGATAGTAAACTTAATAGATCAAACGACTTAATTGCAGGTTTCATCGTCGCTGCCTTTCGATTAAGCCCTGTCTACAAAAGCACGCAAAATCTACTACTTGACTAAATAAAAAGATTAAAAATGTCTTCGCAAAGTAATACCAGTGTCCATTGAACGACAATGTTTAGGACGAAAAATCTTTGTGTAGGATCAGTAGTCACTCTGTTTCTTCTCCGCCTCGTTGTTGTCCTCCTCGAATTCTTCTTTCCTGAAAAAACATTATAAATTTGTCGCTATTTCATCTTTAAAGTAAACGGAACAGATTTTTCAATTGAAGAAATTACTTTCTTCTTCAATGCCATTGGGTATGATTATCCAAACTTGTCGAACATACCGTGCTTGATACGAAAGTGACTTTAAGATTGTCAATTTATTGTTATTTTTGTTGATTTTTTACAGATAAAGTGAACTTTTTCAGCTTCTCAAGTCACCTTCATCGTCATAACGTGTGGTATCGTATCGACCTTGAATAATTATTTCTGAGTATATTGCATACAAAAGAAACGCTAATTCAAAGCCAATTTTAGAAAGCCTTCCCTGGAAATATTCTGGCTCCGAGCACTAGATAAAAACAATTTCTTTTTTCTTGGCATTTTATGGATGAAAGACAAAGACAAAGAAAAACAAAAAAATTAGGACAACTGATTGAACTGAATAAGTTGAGTGTGCTGATCGGTTTATCGTAGAAAATTGCTCATTCTAATCAGACTTACCCTTTTTTCATAAAATCAAATGTCACGTTATCCCCCATCAACACAAACGGAGCCCATTGGGAAGGTTTGGAGAATCCATTGCTTCTCAACCATTGAACGGCCTGGTGAAGAGATTCACTGGCACTTTCTCCACGTACGAGGTGTTTATAAAAATGTTCCATGAGCTTTGCCGTTGCTTTGTCTTCTATAGCCCACGATGCTACCAACACTGAACGTGCACCAGATGCTAAGAATGCTCGAGCGATTCCAATAACTCCTTCCTTTTTAATCAATCCACGCCCACTGTGACAACAGCTGAGTACTACCAGTTTAGCTCGCACTTGAACTCCTTCAATGTCGGACACTGTCAGGAGGTAGTCTTCCTCTTGTGGAGTACTGTTAGTAGTACATTGAGGAGAGAGGGCAATCTCTCCTCTTTCGGCATTTCCATGGGCGGCAAGATGTATCAGACTCACTGAAGGTATCGCTTGAAGAACCGCCTGCTTTGTTGCGCGACTTCCTAATAAAGGCTGAACACCCAGTAGTTGACCAACCATCTCCGCTTCCTTACTTGCACAGAACAATGGTGTAATGTCAATGACACGTCCATTGTATTGCACTTTGCCAACCGTAGGATCACCCACAACCAGTCCGCCAGTTTGACTGTGGTAGTCTGCTGGACATTCTTGAATGAGCCGGAGAGTTGTCAGTGAAGGGATGATGCGTATTCTGTACTTCTCCGATAAATATTTTCCGGCTTGTTCATCACGCAAGGCAGCAAATGGGACTCGGTACGAAAAACGATCCGGTACAATGATGATTTCGGGCTCTGTAAGTAAATCTGCCACAGGTGTGACGATCCATTCGTAGCACAAATGATGACTTCTTCCGGTATCTTTGGTTTCGTCACCACGCAAATTTGCTTGGCTCTCTTCATGAAGAGATGTCGTCGCGTTGTCATCCAGCGATCGGTCTTCGCAGTTCGCTGCAGGTAAAACACCAAAGCATTCAGCGCTTTTTTTGAAAACTCCTTCCACTTCGCAAACTTTCTCAGCAATAAGAGTGTCTATTTCCACTTCGTCTGTTTTTCGAAAGAAAATGTCTCCATTTGTTTTCAATACCCAGAGAAGAACTTGCCGATCTTCATACGAAATGTACAAAAACACACAGTTACTTTCTCTTCTCGCGATGTTTTCAATCCCGAACCATGATCGTGGATTAGCTGAGATGTGGCTTTCAGCGGAGTACTTGTCTGCCATGAGTTCTGCGAGGACTCTTGCTCGTCCCAGCTCCTCAACATAGAGAGCATCTCGAAATTTTCCCCTACCGCAAAGGAGGTGAGTGAGTAACTTGTAGGGAAAAGTACCGTGTTGCTCTAATAGAGAAATTTCAAATCCACTGTTTCCTTTCTGAAGAGTTCTGATTTGTTCATATTTTTCAATACCTTGGAGAAGATATTCCATTGCCTCCACATCCTCTAACTGCGATATCTTTAACATCTGTAATATGGAGAAGGCTTTGAAACTCAATCATTTTGTGTCCAATTTGGCTGCTTATGGAACAAGCTTTCTGTAAATAATATGCTGCCTTATCATATTCACCAAACGATCGGGATAGACGTCCAACGTGTAGGTATAGTTGTGCTTCGCACTCTCTATTGCCACATTCTCTGCTGATTGTAAGCGCCTTCTCACAATGTTCTTTTGCCTTCTGACTGTCGTTTACAGAATCAGAGACATGTGACAAACCTGCAAAAGCGAAGGCTTCCATTTCTCTGTCACCAATTGCAATACTGACGCCGACTGCTTTGTCAAAATGTTCTTCAGCTTTCCGATTTT